TCCGTCCCTCACTGCTGGTACCAGGGGGCTCCCCGGGAGCCTGGCGCCCGCTGGATGGAGCCAGGGTGCCTGAGCTGCACCTGCCAGGTAAGCACCCCATCCCATCCCGCTCACCATGCCAGCCTGGCGTGGGGCTGATCTGGCGGTGCCTGGCCCCGCAGGGAAGTCGAGTGCTGTGCGACGCTGTGAGCTGCCCCGTGCCCTGCTCCCACCCGCTGCCCACCCCGGCCGGGGGCTGCTGCCCCAGCTGCACAGGTGAGCCCCAGGGTGTGTCCCCCTCCCCAAAACACCGCTACCCGGCGCGGCCCCCCCAGACTCATCTGCCTCGCAGGGTGCCTGCATGACGGGGTGGCCCGCGCCGAGGGTGATGTCTTCTCCCCATCCGATGGGAACTGCACCGTCTGTGTCTGCCTGGTGAGGATGGGGATGGGAGCATCTCCCCTGCATCCCCCTGGTGCATCTCCCCTCATCCCGGCTCAGCCACACACCTCCAGAGTCATGGAGCGGGATGCACTGGGGCGGGTGATGTGCCGTCACCATCTCCCACCCCCGTGACAAAGAAGGAGTGTGTCACCCCTCGGCTGCCCTGTGACCAGCCCCATGCTCTGCTCCACAGGGGGGTAACATCTCCTGCATCTCCCCTGAGTGCCCCCCAGGCTCCTGCCCCAGCTCCTCACCCCCCGACTGCTGCTCCTGCCAGCCAGGTGGGTCCCCTGGGACCCCCAGCCCCTGGAGGGTGTGGGGCAGGGGGAGCCCAGGGTTGTGCTGGGGATGAGGGTTCAGCTGGAGCCATGCTTCGCTCCCTGACTCCAGCCCCGACCCTGTTGCCTCTCTCCTCCAGCAAAGTGCACTTTTCGGGGTCACACGTACCCTCATGGTGCCCGGTTCAGCCTGGATGGGGATGACTGCACCACCTGTGTCTGCCGGGTAGGTCCTGAGGGGCTGGGAGGATCCCCAGGGGTGGGTTCTCTATGGCTTCCCCCCACCATCCTGCTGGGGGGATCCAGCCTTTGTTGGGGGCTGACGCAGGACAAGTGGGCACAGGGCTGGGGCCGGGGCCAGGGAGTGACAGGTCCCCATGTCCCTAGGGCGGCGAGGTGGAGTGCTCTTTTACCCCCTGTCCCGTCCTGGACTGCCCACAGCACCAGCGGCACCTGGGCCCCGGGCAATGCTGCTTCACCTGCCGGGACCCTCCATCCCCCGCCGGTGAGTCCACACTGGGCGTGGGGAGGGCGAGATGGGAGGGACAGATAGGGGACAGTAAGGACAGCATAGGGGGGACAGCGAGGACGGGGTGCAGGGGACGTCTGGGGATGAGCATGGTTGGGATGTGGGGACACTTGAGGATGGAGAGGGTGGGAGGTGGGGAATACCTGGGCGCAGGGAGAGTGGGATATTTGAGACAGCTAGGAACAAGGAGGACAGGATGTAGGGGACATCTGAGGATGGCAGGGGAAAGTGGGAGAGTGGGATGTGGTGGTGCATGGGGACTGGCAGGGTGTTTGGGAGGCTGCAGAGGTTTGGAGGTGGGGAGTGGCAGAGGCTGGGAACCACAGGCAGGTCCAGCAACACACGCACACCCCTGGATGCGCGTCAGGAGGGTGATGGGCTGGGGGTGCCATGCTGTGTCCCCCCTGCCCCCACACCCCAGGTTGCTTCATGGATGACAACGGGGTGGAATTTCCCATCGGACAGATCTGGTCCCCTGGCGATCCCTGTGAGTTATGCATCTGCCAGGTGAATGAGAACCTGCTCTGCTTCACCCCTCCTACCTGCCCCCGCCCCTGCGCACAGCTCCTGGCCCCCCTCCTTCCCTCGGGTGCTGGGCTGCCCGTGGCCATGGTCCTCAGCAGCTCCTCGGCTTTGTGGGCTTTTAAAACCCAGTTGGTTCGGGGCAGCCCGAGGTCTCTGTCAAGTACTTCTCCCCTGCAGGCAGACGGCTCAGTGACCTGCAAGAGGACGGACTGCGTGGAGACCTGTCCCTACCCTATCCGCATCCCTGGCCAGTGCTGCCCTGACTGCTCGGCAGGTGAGGGGTACTTCTTCCACGCCATCCGCTTGGCCATCCCCTTGCTTATCCCTTCACCCATCCCCTCACCATCCCTGGGCAGGATCAGAGCCAGAAAGCCTGTGCTTAAGCAGAGGGGTCTCTGGGGGATCCCTGAACCACCCAGGGACCACGAGTGCCCCTCTCATCCCCACAGGCTGCACCTACATGGGAAGGATCTTCTATAACAACGAGACCTTCCCCTCCATCTTGGACCCCTGTCTCAGCTGCATCTGCCTGGTGAGGGCTGCGCTGGGGACCGCGAGATGTTTTCAGCTCCTGCCCTGTGGGCTGAATCCCAGTTTTTCCCTCCGTTGCAGGAAAAGAAAAAGCTCCTGGGTGTTTTGAGGTCTCTCCTCCACCTCTTTTTCCTCAGCTGCCTCCGGCAGGCACTAACCCCCGGCCCCCATGCATCTCTCCCGTCTCTTGCAGCTGGGCTCAGTGGCCTGTTCGCCCGTAGACTGTGCCATCTTCTGCACCTACCCCTTCCACCCCGAGGGCGAGTGCTGAAAAAAAAATGGGGAGCGTGTGGGCCCCCCCCCCCCCCCCGGGACCCCCCCCCCCGCCACAAGCTGAGCAACTGCCTGGCTCCGCACAGATTGCAACTACCAGGGCAGGAAGGTGGTGAACGGTCAGAGCTTCGTCCCCGAGGGACAGCCTTGCACCCGCTGCACCTGCCAGGTAAGCAGAGTGCCCATGGGTGCCCATAGGCTGCCCATGCTCATGGGATGCCTGTGCGCCCATGAGGTACCCATGCCCATGGGGTGCCAATGGGGTGCTCATGCCCATGAGGTGCCTGTGCCCACAAAGTTCCCCTTGCCCACGGGGTGCCTATGCCTGTGCCTATGGGGTGCCCATGCCTGTGCCCAAGGCCTGCCTGTGCCCAAGGCATGCTGTGCCTGTGGAGTGCCCAAGCCCATGGACTACCCATGCCCACAGATGCCTGTGTCTGCAGGGTGTTCATGCCCATGGGGTGCCCAAGTCCTTGTCCGTGGAGTGCCCAAGCCCATAGGGTGCCTGTGCCCGCGGGGTGCCCATGCCCAAGGGGGTGCCTGGGCAGGT